TTCTTAGCCCTCTGGGATACACCTCTGATAGTCACAAGTTTGATATACAACAAGTCGTCCACCCTCATGCTTCTGTGCTGTCTGGTTTATAGTCCTTCCAAGGCCAGAATTTCCTGGCAGTGCAAGTCCCTGAGCGGAGAAGCCCCAGGAATAGCTAAGAATAGCTCCCTACCCTGCAGGGAGGGGAACTGCTGGGCAATACAAAACTGAAGGCATCCATGCTGGGACAAGGGTGACAAAGAAGCATTCCTGTCACCTACCGAGAACGACATTTCAACTGCAGAGAGGCTTGTCCTTTAGGATCAATTGCTAATTGGTTGTGTCTTCTAGAATCTAACTGCTCTGTTTCTATACGCCACCACCAGGAGTTCTGCGGTCTATACAGCACATTCTTTGGAACCAAAGGAGAGAGAAGCTGCTCCCTGGGCCCTTCAAGAGTGAGAGGTTATGTATCTCTCCTCTGAGGAAGTCCTTCCTGACTGGACCATTCTAAGACCCTTCCTTCCAAGACCCTTCCTGTGCCTGCTGAGGCTGAGGACTCTAACATGCAGGTTGTTTCTGAGTTCCTCTGGCCTGCTGGGAGCTGAGTTCCATGCTTCTCCTAGGCAGAGTTAGTGCTCACATTCCATCTGCACGTGTGTGCATTGCACAGGACGATTCCAAAGTCGTCCTGCAACTCACACACTCTGCTCCTGCAGGGCACACAGCTGTCAGCACACAGCTCTTTTTCCCTCTCATCCTGTTGCTACCCTGAACACACACACACACACAGCTTTGAAGCCCACTCCCCATTCATTCCCACGCCCTCCCACCTCCTCCCTGCCTGCTCCCGGTCCCTGGCTAGGAAGATGCCGTGTGGTAAAAGTCATGGGGAACAAACACCATTCCCTGCATTTGGATGCTCTCTCCTCTCCTGCATTGCTCCTTCCGGGGCTGACCAGTCTGAGGAAGTCTCCAGGGAGGACACAGCCAGGTATACAGTCCAGCAGGGGTCTGGCTTGGTCACCCTGTGAGAAAAGGCTGGAAACCTTGTTTGCAGGCTGGGGACTGTGCTGCTGGGGAGGCGCCATGAGCTGGCAGATGCCTCCTGTGGAGCATCACAATGGCCCAGCGGCTTTGCCAGGTGCTGCTCTGGGAACCCGTAGGTCTCATTGCTATGTCCCTCACAGTTCCTTTGTGGCTCTGCTGCCTGCTGGGAAGCAACACAGAGAGCCTGGAGGGCCGGGTCCCGACCCACTGTGTCAGAAAACTGTTCCTACAGAAGACAGAAGGCCACCGAGAGCCTGACAGCGCATACTCGTGCTTGCAGCATGTCCTAGAACGGCTCAGGGCCTTCTGCTGGGCCTCCTACTCAGGCCCGAGGAGGGGCTGGAATGTCTGCGGGTGACCATGTCCAGCCTGCCTGTTGCCCCCCCCCACACACACACACACTATCTCATCTCCCATGACCCCGTCTGTCTCTTCGGCACATCTAGGAAACCTGATCTTGGCAAAGCTGGACAGAAGGAGAAGGAACAGGGATAGCCCCTGAGGCAGGGAACCGCCCCCCACCTCTCAAAGGAGACAGACTGCATCATCTCACTTTTCAGTTTCCAAACAGCTCACAAACTGCACCTTGCCACCGGCAGCCTTGACCCTTCAAATTATTCTTTATGCTTATTCCTGGGTGATGTTCCCACACTTCCAAACTTATCATGCTACTGATCTATTTGAATGCCCCATCCTTAACAAAAATCCCAGCTTCTTGGTGGAACATGCACTACGTTTCACGAGCTGCCTGCTAGACTCTTCCTGCTGCACCTTCTCAGTGTCCCCCACCCTGTATAACACAGGCACGTGCATTCACACAGACACACATGCGCGCATGCGGGCACCCTCTAGCCGTATTCTTTTTCCCCACCCTCACACGCTCCACCCCTCTGCCTGAAATGTTCTTCATCCACCTCACTCCCATTCCTTGTTCCAGCTTCTGTTTCAGCCTCAGTCACCTCCTCCAGGAAGCCTTCCTGGACTTGCTCAGGTTTGCTTGTTCAGCACCACACATATCCTGCTATTAAAATACTCATCGCCCTGTATTATAATTCTCTGCATTTGCCTAACGTATGTATTTCCTCCTCTATGCTGGAAGCTCCTTAAGGGCAGAGTCTGTGTCTCCCTGGCCCATGGCAGGTGCTCAATAAAGGTTTGTTGAAGGAAGAACGGAACACCGGTTCATGCTGTCATGTCCATGTTTACTTTGTCTTTGTGTTTTTCTTTCTCTCTTTTTTTTTTTTCCCTTTTGTCTTTTTTCGTGACCGGTAACGGGATCACAACCCTCAGTGTCGCACCCGTACCAAACCAGCAATGGGATCGCAACCCTCGGTGTCGCGCCCGCACCGTGCTCAGCCAGTGAGCGGACCAGTCTCTATATGAGATCCGAACCCTCAGCGGGAGCGCCGCCGCACTCCCAAGCACCGCACTCAACCGAGTGCACTACCGGGCTGGCCCAGTGTTTTTCTTTCTCTTAAGATTATACTTTGCAAAACAAAACAAAACAAAAAACTAAAATAAACCAAACCAAATAAAAAACAAAAAAAACTCTTCCTACCTTTCCTTCTGCTTTACCTCAATTACCTCTTCCAAATACCCATCCTCCTTTACTTCAATTACATCTGATAAAAGTCAGTGAAGATTTCTGTGCCTGAGCAGATGTCCCCACAGAAGCCATGTGGACTAGGACTTCAGATAGCGAGTTTGCGCTGGACAGGTATCACAGCATGTCGATGGCATTCACGTAGGAGATGAGGATTACTATCTCCCTTTCTCATATGTGGAAACTTAAGTTCCGAGAGTTTAAGTGACCTTCCCGAGGTCCCTTGACTTCTGTCTCCAAATGCAATTTTCTTCCTCCTAACTCAGAGCTGCCTCTTCGTGTAACTCATGCATCATCAGAGAACAAAGAGAAGAGGGAGCAAAGCCACAGGGCTGCCCCAGCTGGGTACTTGGAAGGTGGGACTGCAGAATGTGGCTGGCCTGCCCCACACGGGCCAGCCCACAATGAGTGCACGCCACGACAGGAAGACCTTCTGTCCAGGCAGTCATGATCACAGCGTCCTGGGCACAAGGCCCTCTCAGAGCCGGGCTGGCCAGGGTGACAGTTCAGCCCATCTGCCTGGTGACACAGGCCACACACATGAGTCTCTGTTCCCCCATCCAGCCACGCCTCTGCTCCACATTGGATGCCT